TTCATTTATAATTAGTAAAAGTACACTTGATTTCAACAAATGGAGTCCTGTGGTTTTCTTTCCTGATTATTGAATGAAGAAAAGCTGACAATTTGATAATATGTGAATTCATATAAATTGAAAGTGATGACTATGGGAAGGATGCACAAAAACTTGTAACCAATCGACACACAGTATGTGACAAAAGATGGTTTAATGCTTTATGTCTTGTTTGTTTATGTTTGTCTAAAAATAAAAATTTTCTTTAAAAAAATATTATTTTTAACTTCAACCTATTCCCGTCACACTAAAGGCAGCCTGATGGGCAGCCCAAGAGAGCCAAAGATCATTTATCAAGCAAAAAGAGCCAAGACTCTGATGGCTGCTTGGCTCATTTATCATCATGGAAGATTTTAAGGATGAGCCTGCAAAAGTTTTCACTGGTCTCCTCCTCCCGTTGCTAACAATAAAACACACAAAAGCAGAGCGGGGAGGGGTAGTTGAATGATTACATTTCAGAAAGTGAAACCAGCCAAAAGATGTTTAGAGACTGTTAGATGCTGTTATGAAATATTAAATAAGCCAGAGTGTAGACTTTTACCCAACGGCATTAAAAGTCAGTTTCCAGTCTGGTTCAGTGATCCGCCTGCAGGAATATTATAACAGGCTGTGCGTTTATCCTGCCCATTGGCTCTTTGCACTCTGCTCCATCCTCTAAGAACAAAGCATGGCTGGTTAGGGAATTCTGGGAATTGAAGGCTGAGAAACACTGATCTAAACTGAAATCATTAAAAGCTAGTCGAAGTCTTTGCAAAACTGGCTTGTGCAAACTGCCTCTATTGTGGTTTGTTGAAAAACCTCTGCTCAGCTGGGTAGCCAGGAATGGGAACAAATGCACCGAAATGTTTATAGGGAGCCAATGGAGCCGAGTTTCCATTGTGTCACAAGGCCAGGCCAGAAATACTCACCATAAAGAGCACCGCACAAGAGCCTCTGTGGGTAGAACACACTGCCAGCCAAAAGTGCAGCTCGGCTAACAAACATCAAAAGGTCACAATCAGAGATTTTGAGATCCCATCTGGCAGCTCCTTTTCCACCCTGGGAAGTAATCCACCTGGTCCCAGTGATTTGAATTTATAGAGTGTGGATGTAAGATGTCCTCAACTTACAACCATTTTCATTTAGTAACTGTTCAAAGTTACAACGGCACTTGTGACTTACAACTATTGCAAGATGTCCTATGGTCACATGATCAAAATTCAGATCTTTGGCAACTGGCTCATATTTATGACAGTTGCAGTGTCCCAGGATCATGTGATCATTTTTTTGAGATCTTCTGACAAGCAAAGTAAATTGGGAAGCCAGATTCACTTAACAACCTTGTGACTAACTTATCAACTGTAGTGATTTGCTTAACAATGTGGCAAGAGGGATGTAAAATGGGGCAAAACTCACTTAGCAACTGTCTTGCTGAGCAACAGAAATTTTGGGCTCGCTTGTGGTCATAACCTGAAGACTAGCTAAAAGTGTTCTATCCACCCTATGCCAGCTGGGGGATTCTGGGAGTTGAAGTCCATGCCTCTGAAAGTTACCAGGATTGAGAATCTAGATTGTTCTAGAACAGGCCTGGGCATTTAATGGATATCAGCTCTGTGGCTGTCCCTGCCCAGCCGTGTGAGGCCACTCGGAAATTAGAGAATAAATGTAAATAAGGGTACGCTATGCATGAAAAACAATTGCCTTGCTTTTATTCTGAAGGGGACTGCTGGCCTTTTTTCCATTTATGTGTGTATGTGTGTCCATGCCTACACACCTTCGCATCTTCACAGTTATATTGGTTCAGCCTCCCACCACAATCTCAGTTTCTCCTGCAGCCCCTTTTAATGCCATTGGGAAAATGAATTGCCCACCCCTGTTTTTAGGGGTGAGCTGAGAAAGTTTCTTTTTTGGGGACGTTGTTGGCTGCACACCAGCCGGAATCATCTGACAGGACAGTACAGGTAGTCCTCGACTTACAACCACAATTGAAGCCAAACTTTCTGTTGCTAAGCGAGATAGTTGTGACTTTTTCCCCATTTTACCCCCTTTCCTACCACCATGTTAAGTGATTTGCTTGCAGTTGTTAAGTTAGTGACACAGTTGTTAAGTGAATCTGGCTTCCCCTGCTTGTCGGGCGGTCGCAAAAGGGAATCACGTGATCCTATGACAATGTAACTGTCATAAATACGAACCAGTTGCCAAGCATCTGGATTTTGATCATGGGATCATGGGGATGCTGCAAAGGTCATAAGGGTGAAAAACGGTCATAATCACTTTTTCAGTGGTGTTGTAACTTTGAACGGTCACTCAGTGAACTGTTGTAAGTCAAGGACTACCCGTGGATCTAGGGCTCCGCCAGCCTTTCTAGACCAGAGGCCGTGTCATCATATCAGCAAATGGCCCCCATGATCAGAGGTCAGTTGGTCTGAGAATGCATCATTTTGCATCCCTCCAGTCCCTCTTCCTGCCAACGAAAACCCCTGTCAGCCCCAGGAGACGCCTGCACCCTCCGTGGCTGCTGGGAGCAGAAGCCTCACCAGGCACCAGGAGTTCAGGCAGCCCTGAAACAAACAGGTTCCGGGGCAGGCGGGTTGAAAAGGCCTCCAGGGCAGAATTCTTCTGCATCAAGCCAATCTAAAAGTAGTCCTTGACTTACAACCACAATTAGACCAGGATTTCTGTCGCTAAGCAAGGCGGATCTTAAGTGAACCGTGCCTGATTTTACAACCTTTTTTGCCACGAATCCCTGCAGCGGTTAAGTGAATCATGCAATTAAGCAAATCCAACTTCCCTCTGCCTCTCCTTGTCGGAAGCCAGCTGGGAAGGTCACAAAGGGCCGAGGTGGCGCAGTGGTTAAATGCAGCACTGCAGCAGTGGTGGGTTTCTGCCGGTTCGCACCAGATCGGGAGAACCAGATGGTGAAAGGGACCCGGAAGTAACTTCCGGAACACCTGCCCTGGCCCTGTCGCGCTCCACGCTCACCCCCGCCCTCTGGAGAGGTCCAACAGCACAATTCACCAGACAGCAGAGGCAAGCTCAGGAGTTTTCTACTGGATTCGTCTCTGTCCTGTCTTCTCCGATCTCCCTAATTTCTGCCCTTAATCCTCCAGTTGTCTATTTTTGGGAGGTTTTCCCCTCTCTTCCCCCCCACTTTCATAGGAGTTCCAAAAAATGTTGCCACATGGCTGGGGGGGGGGTCATGTGACTGAGTGTGCATGAGTGATGTCAAGTTGGCCATACCTGCCCGGTCACATGACTGCCAAGCCATGCCCACAAAATAGGCCACACCCACAGAATAGGTTCTAAAAAAAAATGAAACCCACCACTGCACTGCAGGCTACTTCAGCTGACTGTAGTTCTGCAGTTCGGCTGTTCAAATCTCACCGGCTCAGGGTTGACTCAGCCTTCCATCCTTCCGAGGT